GTACAAACCAGTGGGAATGCCCAGAAGCTTCCAAACTTGGAGGATTACAGGCATCCAGTGCTAGGTGGGAGAAGCATGGAGGCAAAGTCACCCCCAGGCTCTTCCCACTCCGCAAAGCAGCTAGCAGCTGCTTTGGATTGTCCAACTGCAGTGCTTCAGAAGGGCAGGAAGGGAGGATGAAACGATGCTGGGACACAATGCATCTTGGCTGCATCAGGGACCTCCCTTCCCATACCCTTTCTCCCAGGTCACTCGTATGACCTTGGGTGGACAACCAGTGTGTTTCTTTCTGCACTGGCTGCAGGGGTGGGGAGGGCTCTATGGATGCAGAGGAGCTGGGACTCTGAAAACTCCTATGGTCCTCTATCTGCTGTCAAGCAGCCATAGAGCTGTGCTGCTAGGCAACTAGGTAGGTAGGTAGCTCTTTACAATCCGAGTCAGGTTCCTGGATATATTACACACACACACACACACAGAGAGAGAGAGACAGACCAAATTGTTTTCTGCAATGCTTTAACAAGATTCTTTCTGTCTTTGTCTTACTGGGGCAATACAAATAAAGTGTTGTCTTAATTCTAGCGAACAAGCCTAACGTGTGGTTGTCTTATGTTTACACACTTTGTATAAAAATTAAGTTCATTCACTCTAGACCACATTATGTGATAATTCTTCATTAACAGTGAGCAACTGGAAATTATCTGAACTTTCTTACAATACATATCTATACAAAAGAACACATGATCATATTCTAAGATGTGGGTTCCAGCTCAGATATACCCATCTGATAAATATGGAAGAAACTGCAGTTTCAACACACCCGTTTGGATACATCCTTACAATCGCATAGATGAAAACTTCCAACCAGAATTGAATTTGGCTTAAAAACTAAGTTATTGCAGTTGAAACCCCAACGGCCTCAAACAAAATGAGACCTAGGCACATAGATGGACTTCTGTTCTGTGTATAGCTTGGAAATCATTTAACTTCACAGAAACTTGCCAGGAAAGCCACAGTCATAGAATAGACAGGGAGCAAGAACCAATTCAAACGTGTTTGGCCAAGGTGGGACAATCCTGACACAATGACTGCACCATCACACCTTTCTGCAGAAGGACTGAGCTTTTGGAAGCGCTCCCTGTGAAAACAGTGCCAGAAGGTCCCCATCTGAAAAACGAGGCATTGATTCCCCACACTATGAGAAGAGAACATGCTAAAACAAACTCATACAATTAGATCAGCCCTTTGTTTAGTAAGATTCAGCAATACGGCACGTTCTTCCATGTATACATTATACAGATATTATTTTTAAAATATAACTTTCGATAGTTCTGTTCTTGTCATTACAATTTAACTCTTCTACACAGAACGATACCATTGAAACAATACAGTCTGTCCCTTTAACATTCAAAAGATGTGTAAACTCATGTTAATGCATAGCAATCACATTCCTGGACAGGCCACGTAGGTCCAAGGCTTCCGCTCCCCATTACGTCCCCCCCACCCCAACAGCCCCTTTCACAAGCAGGTCCATTCCTGCCTCTCCCTCAAATAATTCCTGAGCCGTCAGCCAGCTCTTCTCCCTTTGTACAAAACAGTTGCTACATTTTCCCTGACTGAGGTCTCATGCTTGGAATAGCTGCACAGCAGAAAGAAATTCAGTTGGTGTTGCTTTGTCTGGCAAAAAGACGTAAAAGAGAAGTAAGTTGCATCTTTTTGAAGTTCTGCCTGCTTTGCAGCTGTCGAACCCGGGATGAGGAGCTGTCCCCTCCCTGGACGGCTTTTTGGTTCACCCACTAGGCTGGATGGTGCAGGCCCTGCGCCTCCTTTCCCAAAACTCCCCATGACATCACAGGTGAGTTTCTTCATGTAGAGAAAGGCACACAGCGACTGCTCCTGCCTCTCTGCACAGAGAAAAGGGCAGCAGTAGGAGCCCTCCCCCCAAAACTCTTACTTCTGGTCAGTGATTTGAGATAAGAGCAAGGTTTCCCTTTGCTGGGGTAAGGAAAGGCTGCTTTTCTAGTCCTGGGAGAAGGCAGGGCCTAGGAGAGATCTCTGCAGGCTGGATCAAGAACCTTCATGGGCTGGAAGTTCCCTACCCCTGCATTGAAGGCACAAAGCCTCAATCAGATAAAAAAAGCGGCAATTGTAATACCTTCAAAGAAATGCTGAAGAATTTCCCTTTCCGTCCACAATCCTAAGTTCATGCTTCTCTTACCGTTTGGCAAAATCAGAGACACTTATCACTAGGACTTCCACTGATGTAGGTCCCAGACATCAATCCTCCTTGGCTCAGATAAGCAATAAACATGCTTACTTTTCATCCAAGTAAGTCAGACTTCCATTAGAGAGCCCAGACAGCAATGCCCTTTAAATTTTACATTTCACAGAGTTTTGAAAAATCCGTTGTTTCAGGTATGTATCCTAAAAAAGATTTTCAGCTACAGAAATAAATTGTACTGTTTTCCACCACAGCTATTAACAACAATAACTGCCATCGTTCACACTAGAATAAATATCCTCAGTTGGAATGGAATGATATCAATACAGAATTGTGCTTCAGAACAAAGGAGGAATTGCTAGAAAAGTAGAAAACCATGTTCCATGTGCATTTCAGTATGTAGAATTATATCGTGCTCCAACCTGAAAATTGCAAACTTCAGAATCTGAGGGCAAACAGAACAAAAAGAATGCCACAAAACACACATCAGCGTCATATCTTACAGAACAGTTTCATGTCACCATTGGAGATAAATTTAAGTAGCTTATTTCATTAAATTATTCCTGCAGCCTTGCCAATGATTATTAAAAAAAATAGTTGCCCACCAAAACTAAATTCAACAGTATGTCTATCTGCCTTTGTATATTTCAGTGTAGGTTGAGTAGGTGTTTTGGCAAGCTGAAACTACACAACCAGAAGGAATGGTTATAGATTGAGCAGGGTAGTGGCTAACTCCAAGGCTGCCTGAAAAATTTAACCTGTTTCAAAAACTAAACATTCTGAGCTTTATTACTGCATAACAATCTTATTTATTGCAAAATTAGTTGCTTTTAGAAAATATAATCATAAACACCAAAGTACACAGTACTATCAGGGCTATTAAAGATTTGACTTGGATTTACAGTCTGACGTACATTTATATAAATGGTGTTATGATTGATGTTCACTCCTTTTAGCAAAACTGAAAAAGATAGTTTTACAAAAAAGGAAAAAAATCATGCAGCTTTATTCGACTCAATGATGTAAACAATGCTGAAAGTGGCTTTTTTTTCTTCTTTTTTTTGCCTATAGAGTGAAATTATGGGAAACTACACATAGCAGGATGGGGAACATGTAGCCTTCTCGATCTTCTTGGACTACTAACACCCATCATCCCCAGCCAGCATGGTCAATATGCAAAGATGGTGGGACCTGAAGAGCAGCAACATCAGGCCAGCACCTGATAATATACTTAAAGCAACTCCGTTGCATGATTTCTGTGAGTCTGGAAGAAGCACGACAATCAGAAGTTACGTCTGTATGCCTTTCTACACTGGAATGCCCGTCTTCCTGTGTAGGCCTATGCACACTGGACTGCATGGACGAGCTTCTGCATCCCTGTTCATCTGGCAGTCTAGATGGGAGCACGCATCATCATCCGAGGCCTTATGTGACTAGTTGCAAACGGGTAGAGGCTGGGTCACCTGGTTTTTGTTCACATTCCTGGCCACTGGTTGTGCTAGCAGGAGCTGCTAGAGAATCAAGCTTTTGCTCGCTGCAAGGACACAGCTATCTCTTGCTTGTACAGCTCTTCTTCAAGTCTGCTTGAACATGTCCTAAAATGCAAGTCTTAAAGTACATCAGAAATGATCCTATCAGAGAGGGACTGATTTACAACCCACTTGTAACAAGTCACTCTGGAACAGCAGTGATTTTAATGTCAGTGGATCTGTTCAGGGAGGGAGGGAGGGAGGGAGGGAAGTTGTGCACCCTTCCAACATACACAGATAACTCCTGTGCTAGTAGATTCTCCATTCATGCAGATGGAGAAATCCTATCTACACATGTGTCCCTTTCAATTGACAGAGCCAGTCCCTCCTTTAAAGGAAGGATGAAGCCTGGGATAAACCGTAGGTTAAAAGGGACTGGTCTTGTTACACAAGAAAAGCAGGATTTGAGTAACACTCACAAGGCAATCCCACACAGCTCTACGTAGAACTCCACCAAGTGTAATGGGATAGGCAACGGGCTGCCTTACCACACAAACATCACAACTCTGTTAAGCAAGCTGCATTGTCTACCAACTGCTATGCAACTAAATTTAAGGTGTTGGCACTAGTGTGCAAAGTGCTATACAGCTCAGAACCAGGTTAACTCACCATGCCCAACCTCTTGGGCCATGATGATCTTTAAGGACCTTTAAGGAGACCCTGTTGCCTACAGATTTCTGTTTAGTGGCGTACGGAGGTGAGCTTCCACTGCAGTGGCAGGCACCTTGTGGAGTGATCTCTCCCGTGAGTTACATCAAGCCTCAATGCTGGTGTCTCTCAGGTGTTTATTGAAAATATATCTATTTACCTTGGCTTTCATCCAACCATGAGCTATCTTTGTACCAATCTCATGCATACCTGATGGGTATGCATGCATTTGTTTCTATATGTGGAGTGCTTATTGGTTTTGTACAGTTTTATTCTTTATAAATTGCCTCAGGATTTCTTTCAAATAAGAAGCAGTATATGGGTATTATAAGTGAATAAGGGGGGGAGAGAGAGAGAGAGAGAGAGGAGTGTATAGAATTGCAGCCTTAAAGTTGGCAGGAAAGTAACAGTGCTTCCAGGAATGTTCCTGAAATTACATGACACAGTTTCTTTTGGTCAATGGGATTTTTCCTTTGGAAAGGTTAATACTCCCTGCGGCTTGAATGCAAACCTGTTATGTACAACATAATGAAAGCAACAGAGCCATAGAACACAATGCTATAAACAAACAATCAATCCAACAAAAACCATCCTCTCTCTGTTAGTCAAACATCACTGGGTGAGCGTGCTCTTGCAGAAAGATTTGAAGGGATGCAGCCGCAGCAGATGAGCCAAAGTGCCTTTTGTATTTCTTGGTTTCGGAAAGCGTATATTACAGGGTTGATGATGGAATTGTATGTGGCTGGAAGGAGGGTAGCATAGGTATATATAGACGGATAGGTGTAGTCGGCTATTAAAGAATAGAGTGTGAAAGGCATCCAGCAGGCAGCAAAGGTTCCCAGGATAATGGCTAGAGTCGAAACTCCTTTTCGGGTTGTCACATAGTGAGACGTGGCCAGAAAGTGGTGTTGCAAGGCAATCTGATGGGCATGGCGCATGACGATTTTACAGATCTGAATGTACAGCTGTAGCATGAGAGCAAACATAAGCAAGAAGGAGACAGAGAGGACAGCTGCATTATTTTTAGTGAGGGGCCTGATAACACTGCAGGTGGATTCATCTTGGAGGCAGTTCCAGCCCATGACAGGCAGCAGTCCAATACAGATTGAGGCTCCCCAGAGCAAAATTAACATGATATAGGTAAAAGTGACAGTCCTGTCCGAATTATAAGTCAAAGCATAATACAGAGAGAGATATCGGTCCACCGTGATAGCCAGTAAACTGCAGATGGAGGCACAGAAAGAGGCAACAATTAGTCCGATGGTGACCAGCTTGGTGGATTCTGACTGGAGAAGATAGGCGAAAATGAAATTAAAGATCAATCCAATCCCTGCTAAGAGGTCTGCCAAGGCCAGGCTACCTATCAGGAGGAACATTGGAGCACGAAGACTAGGATTGTGGAAGATAATAAGGACCACAACTGCATTTTCACAGGAGATAAGGGTTCCTGAAGTACACAAGACAATATCCCAAGGGTTTACAATAAACTCTGGCTCTGGGTCACTGACAGGTATCAGGGAGGAGACCGGAACGGAAGCATTCTCTGTCGGACTGGTGTCAAAATGATCTTGAGGCAGCCACGTTACATTAACTGTCAGGTCTTCATTCATATTTATACCCGTCTTCTTCAACAATAAAACATTAAAAGAAGAAAGAAATTATTTTAATCTTCGAGGCAACAGTCAGCAGCACAACTGGGGAACATGCAACACACACCTTATATGTCTAAATAAACCAGTAGGCATCCGTTACATAAACATGACTGTACAAAAGATGACGACAAGAGGAAGCTCCGAATTTAAACCTGCCCTCTTCTGTCTTAAACAATTTTAAAAAGGAAAAAGAAAAAGAAGGCAGGAGCAACGCTTTCCTCTGGCGTTTCCAGGTCCTGCTGCTCTCATGATTAAAATGCCATGGAAGAGCTGGAACAATGTGAAAGACGGATTTAAAAATATATATGCACACAAACATCCAACACGGACGCACACACCGAGTTCCAAGGCTCGAAGCGGCACGGTGCTTGATGCATCCAGGCTTCATCCAGCATTCCCGAGCAGATACGATTAATTAAACTGATGACCCCCCCCCCCAAAAACAGGCATATAGAAGCTTATCAGGATGGCCTTTTGTTTTTCTTTCTGACCTCGATTAAGAGAGGAGAGAAAAAGTACTGGAATGAGAGCAACACCCGCTCAGAATCGGAAGCTGGAGGGGTCTTTCTTGCGGACAATGCAGCAGCAGCGGCCCCCAATTAGCAGCAATCCTGCAGGGGGCAGGTGAAAACGGGGGGTGTCATGCAGGGCGAGGGTCTCTCTCTGCATAACCGTCCCCACCCCCATCCCAGCCAGACGCACGGAGGAGACGGATGGAGAGGCGCAGAGACGATCGCGACAGCGGGACGAGCCCTTCGAACGGTGATCACCTTGGCTTCTCCTCTGGAGGAGGAGGAGGAGGAGAGGAGGAGGAGGAGGATGCCCGCTTCCTTTCTATGCTGCAAGCCTGGCTAGCGCCGCCGCCGCCGCCGCCGCCGCTTGCAGGCTCATTGTTTGCACGGCGCAGGCACAGGGGCACGGGCAGCCGTCGCGGCGGCCGCTCCAGGTTGGGGCTTTGCAGAACAGGCGCGCAGGTGAGAGCTGCCCCTCTCCTCCGTGCTGCATCTCGCGGCGGGCGCAAGCGCGCGCGCGGCGGCGGCGGCGGAGGAGGAGGAGGAGGAGGAGGACGGCCAGCGGGCGCGGTGAGGCGCCGCCGAGCTTGCAGCCACGTGAGCCCGCGCGGCAGGAGAGCGAGGCTGGCGCGGTTCGGCGCGCGCGGGGCGATGCGACGGCGGCGGCGGCGGCGGCGGGGAAACACCTGCTGCGCGCTGGTGCGCACGCGCCGCGGCCGCCCGAAGCGCCGCTCGGAGGCTGTCTGGCTGCGCCCGCCCCGCGCCCGCCCCGCGCCCGCCAGCCCGCGAGGGCGCCTCCGGGAGCCGCGCGCCTCGCCGCGCCCTCGGAGCTCGGCATGCCCCGCCCCTTTCCCCGCCGCCGCCCGAGTCTCTCCTGCTCGGCTCACGCGCCCTCTTCCCGCCGCAGGACCCTCTCCAAAGCCGGGCCTCTTTGCCCTGCCCGCCTCGGCTCACGGGGTCTGCCCGAGAGCCTCTGGGCATAGGCTGAGTGCCTCCCTGCCATTCCGCTTTGCTCATGGCCCGCAGCTTTTCCTGTTCCTATGGCCATATTGGAAGAGAACCCCTTCATCGGGCCGTCTGAACGGCACAAAACCGTGTGCTAGCTTTATAGTGCTTCAGAATGCTTTGTCAGGCAAGAGGGAAAACCAAGTATTAAAATGCAGGGAGGGGGAAGATAAGAGAGAAAGTGGAATGACTATCTAAGCTGCCTTTCCCAGTCGGGTGCCTTCCTGATGTTGTGGACTACACTTCCCATCATCCTTGATGATTCGCCATGCTGGCTAAGTCTGGGGAGGGGTGAAGTTCAAAATGTCTGGAGGGCAGCAAGTTGAGGGAAAACCGAGATACTGTCATACATACATCTACCTGAAATTAGAAGGAAAGGTGGCCAATTCACAGAAATGTGAATTGGCAGGGGTGCAAAGAGGACACCAGTGCCTTCCAGGTGGAAAGCAGGTATCCTTTTTCCTTCTTCTCTGTGTCTAGGGAGCTTGTGTTCCACCTAGGCAGGGTCACAACCATAGTATGCAACTAACACCATAGTCCTGTGCGTGTTTAAGTCCCATTGAATTCAGTGAGTCCTACTCTAAGTGGGTTTTGCATGTGCTTGCAGCATACGTGAATGAGAGTGATGCAATAGTTAAGCTGGGCTGGGACAGTGCTTCTAGTCCCAACTCTGCCACGAAGCTCACACTGGTCGTTCAGCCCACCGACTTCACAGGCTGTGAGGACAAAGTGGAGAGGAGGGTCTTACAGGCTCCTTTGGTTCTTATAGAGAGGAAAAAGTTGGGATATAAATGTAAGAATAGATAGAAAAGGAAATTAGTGCTAAGCAGAGAATATACAGAGTACATTAAAGTAGAGTTTAGCTATGATTTAAGCCTTCCAGTCTAAGGTGGGTAAAGGCCAGAGGCTGCAGACTCCTGGGTCTACCTCCAGGTTGTGTCTGCATTACCATTAGAAATCTGAGCCAATGTACTAAGAAAGCACAGTGTACATTGGTTCTATATCTATACACCAGACTTCAAACGGATTTAATAGTCACCCTCTCTCTCCAGGGAACTCTAGAACTATGGTCCTTCGTGAGGATCTTTGGAAAAAGATCATTTGCACTGCTATCATCCCTGGGATCATCGTCCTGCATTGCCCAGACTCCTTTTTGGGGAAATCACAACAAGCCAGTGTGGCCTGAGAGTTAGAATGCTGGACTGGGACTTGGGAAAGCCAATTTCTAATCCCGCCTTAGCCACGAAGCTCACTTTGTCACTCTGGGCCAGTTATTCGCTGCCTAACGGGTATTGTGAGGATGGCATGGAGAGAGGAAAGGGACCTGTAAGTCACCTGGGGTTCCTTGCAAGAGGCAAAAAGGCAGGAAATGATGGTGATCATAAGATGTTTATAGCATGGACATGTCTTATGGTGCTTCCTCAGCACCTCTAGCTCCAAATTGGGATGTAGGCAAGGATGTCACTCAGAATGCTCCTTAGCAGGGGGTGCTGGCATTGCGTTAAGCTGGAGGGAGATCCGCTTGGACTAGGGTCAGTCTGTACAATCAGTTGATCGAGTGCCTGAGGAAAGGTTGCAGGAGCTGGGTGTGTTTAGCCTGGAGCAGAGATTTTAAAAGGGCCACATCAGGGCAGTCACAGTCATATTCAGTTCCACAGAACCTGGCAGGAGAGAGGGCCTGCCTTCCCAAAACACCAGGCCTGTTTAAACTTCATGCTTTTGATACCAGCAACAAAGCTTGCGGAGAACGATGTGATGCTTTTAGAAGGGGTAAGAGCATTCCAGCATGACAAGACCAACAGATTGGCAGTTGAAGGAAAAGGATGGGGTGAGGGAAATGGGACAAGGTTGTCTAGGGAAACCTGAACAGCTAAATTGGGACCCCAAAAGGTTGGATTTGGCCCTCCCAGGCCTGAGGTTTTATTTATTTATTTATTAAAACATTTTTATGGCGCCCCATTCGCCAAAGCCTCGGGGCGGCTTACAACAATAAATTAAAATAATTATAATATTAAATTAAAAATATAAACATTAAATTAAAAATACAAGTATACAATATAAAATAAGCCACCCTGGCCAGATAAAATCCAATAATATTAACAGTTAAAATGCCGCTTAAATAAAAAGGTTTCTTACCCCTGGCCTAAAATCTTGTACTAAATATCAGTTAGTATCAACAAAGAATGTGGATAAGATGTTTTCAGTTATCAGTGAACTGATAAGAATGTGTTGGCTCATTCTTGCCCAACTTTCATGTCCCCACCTACTCCAGCTAGGGAATTAAGTTAAAAATTTGTGTATGTGGTTCTGTGCAGAGGCTGTCTGGCTTTGAACAGACAGCCAGGATATTTGCATCTGTAATAAACTGTGATCCAGGATTATGTATGGTATGTCACTATTTTAGAAATCTTGATTCATATTAAGATATACTATTTTACAGTTTCAAAATGCATGCTTTTCAGAAAACACTCACTGCACAAAATTTAGTTGAAAAATGTTTAACTGAATATTTGGTGTGCAAACAAGTATTAAAAGAAGAAGCCACCGAATAAAACAAACCAGATAGTACACTGAATTAATCTTTACTGTAGTTTTGCACAATCACAGAGGGGGAAATATTTCTGGGTGGCTTATTTCCCGTGCCCTCCATGTGCAGTTCAGCCATGTGTGACAGGGGATCTGTACAATTATCCTCTATGGTGTGGTTTATTATGTCAGGCAAAGGTGGTCAGAGTGGCTTGCTGCCAAGGAAGCAAGCTGCCCTGCACGTATAGCTGCTGTAGGGTTATGGGTGACTTGTTATCCATGGCACCAAGCCAGTTTGGCCAAGTTCACAAGGCACGTCCTGGGTTTAAATAGACAGCAAGAGAAGAAGCCATGGTGGCTTCTTTCCCCAGCTTTTATGCATGCTGGTGTACTCTGTCCAACTTCTCTACTTACCTGTGTGGCTTCCCATGTCATCTGAACCTGGCAAGGCATGTAGTGTGTGTGGGGGGGGGGGCGGGGGGGAAGGTCTTCGAAACCATCCCAGAACCCTACAACAAGCCATGGTTTGAGGTGGTTTCAAAGCCACCTTGCCATTTTTGGATGACACAGGAATGAAGCAGCATGCATGTAATTAGGCAAATCATTCTAAGCATGCATGGGGGCAGGGAAAGGAAGCCACTGTGGGGTCTTTTCCTGTTGGTAATGTCTCTCTTTGGTCATGGCAAGCTGTGCTGCTGAAGGTAATTCTGCACATCCCATGGCATGCCCACAGCACCTGGCCAGGGTGGTGGATCAGCCAGCATGGCTTACTTTCCCCTCCGCAATCATGCAATCTGGCCTCTAAGTTGGAGCCAGATCTGTCATACTTGAGCTGAACTGAAGTCCCTCAATGGGCCTTCTCTAAGCGTGACCAAAGCTGGATCCAACCCTGTTTTTGTTACTTAGGTACATCCT